GGGAGATGAAGCTAAGCAATTCCCGCAGTTCCGAAGAGTAGTAATTGGGGTCGACGCGATTTAGCAAAAGGATTCGAGCGCACGCATCAGCTGCCAAACAAAGGACTCATTACATCGGAAAGGAAAGGCATGAATGCTCATTCCGACGGACATTTTTACGCCTGTTGCCCTCTACAGGAAATAACCCATTTAAAAGATCAGAAGAACCCGCGCTCGGGCTTTGGCAAAAAGGGGAAAAGTTAAAAGGGAGTGGAAGGGAGGAAGGCGAGGAGAGAGGACATGAGGGGAAGAGGACGAGCTGAAAATAGAAAGAGGGAGGGATGGAAGGAGAGAGGGAAATAGGGAGGCAGAGAGAGAGGGGGGGGAGGAGGGGGGAAGAAAAAGAGAGAGAGAGAGAGATTTGGAGAAACCGAGATGGAAATAAACAACCAGAGAGCGGGAAGAGAGCGCGCGATCCGGAGCATTTAAAGCGCGGGGAATATTCCATTTGATGAGATCCCTCTTGTGTTTGCGAAGCCTTGGAATGGAGCAAGGATTATGGCCGATGCAAGGACGCCTCACTTGCCTTTTTGAACCTTAATGTCTTCATCTCGCCGCCGCCGCTCCTCGCGCCCTCTCTTGGCCGGCACCCCCCCTCCTCCTCCTCTTGTCTCTCTCCTCCTTTTGCTTCCTCATCATCATCAACCTCCTCTTCTTTCCTCGTCCTCGTCTTCCTCACCTTTCACTTTTTGATCATCATCCTCTTTTTATTTTACCCTCTTCCTCTTCCTCTTCCTTTTCTTCTTCCTCCACTCTCTCTTATTATTCTTATTTCTTCTCCTGCTCCTCCTCCATATCTTATTCCTCCTCTTGTTCTCTATCATTGCTATCCTATGTTATAAATATAATAATTGTTATCTTTTTACTATTACTCTTATTCATCAATCTTATCACCTCCTCATTTTCAGCACCGTCATCACTGTTATCATCATTATGGTCACCACCATTCTCCCGTCATTAACGTGTGTATGTACGTGTGTGTGTTTCCTCTTTTTCTCGTGTGTGACTGTGAAAGTCTGTGGGTGTGTGTGCCTTTAACACGCACGGCTTCATGCTTGCGTTTTCTGATACATAAACCCAAAACACACATACTCGCATACATTTATACATTGATTTTTATATGCTTGGACACACGCAAGTACGTATGCATGTCAGCATAAACGAGGAGTCCCTGGCAGTTTGTTTCAACTTTCCCCATTTCCGAATGCAGCGCTAGACTCGGGTTATCAACGTTCTTACACACTCTTTATTATTTTTTCGCTCTTTGTCCACTTCTTTCCCGTATAATGTATATTCTTTAGCAATATTCTTTCCCTCCCTGGTCGTTCTTATATTGTTTAATCTCATCCGTGTCCTCAGATAATATCGGTATTATCATAAAGTCTGATCTTCCGCTAAGTACGCTACACATAAGCGCATCCCGCTAACTCAGCCATTACCGCTAATTTCACTTATGACGCCCGCTGCTGGCATCGTTACTGATAGTCATAGCCTCTCACACTCATTCTATTTACTTGCATTGTTATTTTTCGTTTTTTTTTTTTTTTTTTTATTCTTTTTACTTTGTCTTTCTGTCCTTTTTTTTTTATTCTCATCTCTCTCTTTGTTTTTTCTACCTTTTTTTTTACCACTTTCTGAACGATTTGTATCATTCCGAGATCAATAATTCTGTTCTTTTCTGTTCTTCCTTTGAAGCTCTTACATGCCAAGGCTTCGCTGTCCACCTTTCTTCTTTATTCTTTAATAAACATCATGGAATTTCGTCTCTTTTCATTCCCCGGATTTCCTTCTTTCTCCTTATTCTTCACTCTGTTCATTCCCCTTCGGTCTCACTCCTTTCTAACTTTTGCTTTTCATATTACCCTTTTTCCGGCTCTTCTCTGTTTTTCAATACGTTACATCATTGTTTCTTCTCCATTTTATATCTATCCTCTCCATTTCGCCTTCTTTCAACTATCTCTCTCTCCTCTCTCCCTCTCTCTTCTCATCTCTCTCTCTTCTCTCCTCTACTCCTCTCACCGTCTTTCCTCTCTTTCTTTCTTTCTTTCTCCTCTCCCTCTCTCCTGCTACTCTCTCTCTTACTTCTCTCTCTCTCTCGTATTCCTACTCTCTTCTCTCTCTACCCTCAGCAAGATACCTGACTCCCGCGCCCGTCCCACCCCCCCCTGCACAAACGATCACTGGGCGGTTACGAGCGCGGTTCGTGTAGTCTGGGCTCGGTCGTTTCACTACAAGAATATAGCGGCAGTTTTGCATGCACTCCTGCGGGCACTCGTGGAAATTGATTTTGTCGGTCTCTATGACCCCTGTGGCAATGAATTTATAAATTACGAACTTGGCATATCTTTTTTAACTATATATACAAACACACACACATACCGTCATCAAGAAATATCTGCGACGCAAAAGTTATTATAACCTGCCTGTTAATATATACATGCTATATATAGTACATATACATACAACTGTGTATATTATACATATACATATAATAATATATATATGTATAATATGTATTCATGTTAGTGCGCGCGCGCGTGTGTGTATTGTGTACAGATATACATGCACACACACACATATAAAAGTATGTATAAATACACACACGCTTATATATGTATATGTATGTCTATGTATACATATGTATATATATGTATGCAGTATATATATATATATATATATATATATATATATATATATATATATAATATATTGTGTGTATAGGCCTATACACGCACACACATATATAAATGTGTGTGTGTGTGTGGGGGGGGGGTTGTGTTTATATATATATATATATATATATATATATATATATATATACACATATATACATACATACATATACATGCCCTTTTGCTTAACAACGGAGGCGCTGGGCAATGAGGAGGAGGCATTTGTCCTTGGAACCCTTTTTACTATGAAAGCTCAAAGTGCTTCCATAGCTTTTCAGGTGTTTGTGAAAATACTAATGTTTTCTGTTTGGGTTATTTTGGTAAACTATCCACACCTTATCAATTCCGCAATTTACTCTTTATAAGGAATGTTCCGATTTTCAGAATCCGTTTTAGTCCAGAAGTAAGAATTCATAGAGTAAACGATTTTTTGATTTATATATCGTTCGATTTTAAGATGCTGATTGATTGTGGAATCAAAACAGCAAAATCAGAGTATTCGCGTAAATAACAATGATACAGAATAGAACAGTAAAATGTGATGAAATATTCAACACGCGTTTATTGCATCATATTAATCACCTTCCTTTCCTTTTCTTCATCCAATAGAATTTAATCGATCACTAGAGAAATGATAATGGGTAGCTACTCACCTCTTTTCAGATGCCTTTCTTATATATATCATCTCTGTGGACTTGGTTATACTTCATTGAAATCATCCCCATTTTCCATTTTGAATCCAAGCCTTCTTTTAACATCACTGCCACGGCTGATGTGATGAGGGAATAATAAAACAACGGTCTACGAAAATAGCGTGCGTTTATTTACAAATATGACCCTTGCGTAAAATAAATAAAAACAACTCAAAGTCAAGCAATCCGCCACTCAGAAGTGGGAATAAAACATCAGAGTAGCATGGTACAAAATACGAACACAAAAATAATATAATGAGACACGTCACTACACCCACTGCACGAAAGAGAGAGAGAGGGAGAGAGAGAGAGAGAAGAGAAGACTAGAAACCGAACGAAGCAGAGACCAAGAGAAGCGACAACGGCAGAAAGCAGAGCAAATGAGCGAGGTGTGAGTGCCGCTCAGCAGTGCTCGTCCACGAAAGCCACGGATCGCAGACGGCGACGCTCAGCAGGAGGGAGCCAGCGGAGCACCAGAAGCCGTGCAGTAGTAGGAGAGCGAGAAGGTGGTCGAAGAGTTGACGGAAGTCGAAGTAATAGTCTTGGTGGAGGAGGTGGTCGACCACACTGTGATGGCCAAACGCCCGTCCCTCGCGTTCAAGTCGTCCTCGTCGTCGGCAGCTCTTACTTCGCGCTCCAGCTCCTCCAGCTCTCCGACGGAATCGACCTGAGACCCGTCGAGGGACGAGGAACTGCGGGGGAGGAGGGAGGGGGGTTGGGGAGACGTAATGATGACTAATGTAAGGGTGATAATAAGGATGATAATAATGATGACTAATGTAAGGGTGATAATAATGATGACTAATGTAAGGGTGATAATAATGATGACTAATGCAAGGGTGATGATAATGATGATTAATGTAAGGGTGACATTAATGATGACTAATGTAAAGGTGATAATGATAACTGATAATAATAATGATGTTGATAATGATGATAATAGTAATGATGATAACATTAATGGCAATGATAATAAACATAATAATAATAATAACGATAATGACATTAATAATAATGATAACTGATAACAGTGATGAAAACGATACTGCTAATAATAATCATCAGAAACAACAAGAACAATAATGATAAGTATAGTAATGACGATAGCACTACAAATCATTTTTATAATATGATAATGAAAACGCTACTACTAATGATAATAATGATAGAAATTAAGGATAATAGTAATAAGAATGATGAAAAAAATGATAATAACAGTAATGATGATAATAATAATATCAATAACAGTAACAATAATAGTAATAATGATAATAAAAATGATAGTAATAATAACAATGCCAGTAATGATGATATTGATCGTAATGATAATGATGATAAGAATGATAAAATAAGAGGAGAGGAAAAACAAAGAGAAAAAAGAAAGCAAAAAAAAAAAAGAGAAAAAAGCAAAACAAAACAAACAAACGAAAAAAAAAACGAAGAAAAAAAAAGAAAAAACTCACTCGAACTTCTCAGCGTCGATGTCGTCCATCTTGACAAATCGTCGAAGTCTCCTTCCACGACAGATCTGAGTGTTGAGGTCCCGATAACACGTGTAAGGCACCGTAGACGTCAGCGTGCTCATGACAATAGCGGTTAGTCGGTGATTTGCCGAGTACGCGGAGGTCCTCGTCTTCCCGAGCTGACACTGTGAGGCGGAAGGATTGAAGGATTTAAGGAGGGATAGGAGGAAAGGAAGAAGCGAAAGGATGGAAGGGAATGAAGGGAGGAAAGAGGGGAAAGGAGGAAAAAAGGGAAGAGAAGAGGAGGGGAAGGGAGAGAAATGGAGGAATGAAGAAAGGAAGGAAGGGAAGAGAAAAGGAGGGAAGGAGGAAAAGAAGAGAAAAGTAGGGAAGTAGGTAGGAAGGAAGGGAAGAGAAAAGGAGGAATGGAGTAAGGAAGGAAATGAAGAGAAAGAAGGGAGGAAGGAAGGGAAGAGAAAAGAGAGGGGAAGGAAAAAGAAGGCATAGGGAGAGGAGGAAGAAGAGGAGGGGAGGGGATGGAGAAGCAAAACGCAAGGCCGCATAGAGGAAGAAAGAACAGAGAGGCAGGAAGAAAAAGGGAAGAGAAAGAAGTAGTGACGAATCGAGGAGAAACGAAGAGGAGGTAAAAAAGAAAAAGAGAGAGAGAAACAGAAATTAATATTTCTCACAGCTAGACTAATCAGATACATCCTCATCAAAACTTCATCCTCCCACTAAGACCACGAAGTGAATCGAAGAGAAAAATATCTAATTACTCGGCAAAGAGTAGGAACCACAACTTACCTCCTGTGACAGCGAGGACGCCGAGCACCAAGATGAGCACCAGTCCCTTCATTCTGAGAGTAAAAGAAAAAGGTACAATTGCAGATAGAATGAACTTGCGGCCATGGAAATATATTATGTGTGTATGTATGTATACATATGTATATATATATATATATATATGAATACATACATATATATGTATATAAATATGTATAGACAGAGAGATAGATATGTATATATATATATATATATACACATATATCTCTATATATGTATATATGTATATATATATATATACATATATACATATGTACACACATGTATAGATAGATATACATAATATATATATGTATATATATTTACATCTATATCTATTTTTCTATATATACATACGTATATATATACATATATATATACTAGTATATATATACATATATATACATATATATGTATATATGTGTATATCTATCTATCTCTATATACATATACATATATACATATATGTACGTGTATATACACACATGTATATACCCATGATATATATATATATATATATATATATATATATATATATATATATATATATATATATATATATATATATATATATATACATGTGCACACACATGTGTATATATTACATATATATATGTAAATATATATACATACATATGTAACACACACACATATATGTATATGTATATGAATAATCTTATGACTGACACTCCAATAAGATATGCCCTTACTAATGCCTGCATAAAAACATACGATAAAAACGGGAAAAGCTTCTGTAATTTGACTTTTCATTATCTGATAATACAGAAAAGCAAGAAATAAACATTTGAGATTGTATTTCATTCAACGGCTTTCTCTTTTTTCCCGTTTTAATACAAATGTTAGTCGGCAAGAAAATCTGAATGCCATATTCGATACGATGACTGATGTCTCACAGTTTAATCACTCCAACACACGCAAGCTAGTATCAGCAAGTGTAAGGGAAAAGGATGATAAACACAATAATGGTAATAATGATGAAATAATCATTTTGTCTCCTTTTATCCTTCTAATATCCTTTCTATAATAAACTCGCATTACTTTTGTGTCGTTCCATTATTGCAGAAGCACAGTAGGGCCTTTTTAACAGTCCATAGTAAATGCTTGATCACACACACTGAAGTGTTTGAACGCACGCACTTATAATGTTTAAACACACGCTGATGAAAAAACACACAGGCAACACTCAAGACACGTGAGCAACAGACCTGAAACAACTTTGCTTGTTCGACACTTGTGGAGGGAAATGGACCTCCTCGTATATATATATAGGCCACATTTATGCAATAACATCCGACTGTTCGTACTGCAGGTTAACCGAACGATTTCCTGCATTGAACCCTGAATAATTTCACTCGGTTTTCCTCCTCGAACCACACGGACGAAGTGAAAAATATCATTAGGAAGATGGTTTCGCAATTTTCTTTCCTGTTGGATATGACATGCAGGGCTTAGATGATGGGAGATGCTTTGTGTTTTGTGTGATTTGAATAGATAAAATAACTGATTCGTTCCTGGTGGATGATATTCGGAAATTGGCTTATGTGAGGGTGGAAAAGGTAGGGGGGATAAAGAAGAGGGATGGGAGACCACTGGGGGGGGGGGGTGTAAGGAGGAAAAGGGAGAAGATGGGGAGGGAGGGAGAGGGAATGCAGGTCCTTGTCTCGTGTGCACTCCCTCAGAGCAGGTGAAGCCACGACCCTAGCAACTTCTACAGTAGTGGCTCATAATATTTCTTCATCTTCATAGTGTAAACGATCTTGTGATTTATGTATCGTTCGATTTCCAGATGTTGATAGATTATGGAATCAAAACAGCAAAATCAGAGTATTGGCATAAATAACAATGATACAGAAAAGAACAGTAAAAAGTGAAAACATTTAAAATGCGTTTATTGAATCATATTAATCCCCTTCCTTTCCTTTCTCTTCTTCATCCAACACATTTTAATCGATCACAAGAAAAATGATAATGGGTAGCTACTCAACTCTTTTCAGATGCCTTTCTTATTTTATCTTTCTCTCTGATTGGTTATGCCTCATTAAATCACCATTTTCCATTTTGAATCCAAGCCTTCTTTTAACATCACTGCCACGGCTGATGTGATGAGGGAATAATAAGACGACGGTCTACGAAAATAGCGTGCGTTTATTTACAAATATGACCCTTGCGTAAAATAAATAAAAAAAACAAATCAAAGACAAGCAATCCGCCACTCAGAAGTGGGAATAAAACATCAGAGTAGCATGGTACAAAATACGAACACAAAAATAATATAATGAGACACGTCACTACACCCACTGAACGGAAGAGAGAAGAGAGTGAGAGAGAGAAGAGAAGACTAGAAACCGAACGAAGCAGAGACCAAGAGAAGCGACAACGGCAGAAAGCAGAGCAAATAAGCGATGTGTGAGTGCCGCTCAGCAGTGCTCGTCCACGAAAGCCACGGAGCGCAGACGACGACGCTCAGCAGGAGGGAGCCAGCGGAGCACCAGAAGCCGTACAGTAGTAGGAGAGCGAGAAGGTGGTCGAAGAGTTGACGGAAGTCGAAGTAATAGTCTTGGTGGAGGAGGTGGTCGACCACACTGTGATGGCCAAACGCCCGTCCCTCGCGTTCAAGTCGTCCTCGTCGTCGGCAGCTCTTACTTCGCGCTCCAGCTCCTCCAGCTCTCCGACGGAATCGACCTGAGACCCGTCGAGGGACGAGGAACTGCGGGGGAGGAGGGAGGGGGGTTGGGGAGACGTAATGATGACTAATGTAAGGGTGATAATAATGATGACTAATGTAAGCTAATGTTGATAATGATACTAATGTAAGGGTGATAATGATGACTAATGTAAGGGTGAATAATGATGACTAATGTAAGGGTCTACTAATGTCTAATGTAACTCATGTAAAATAATGATGATGACTGATAATAATAATGATGTTGATAATGATAACAATAAATGATAGCATTAATGAATGATAATAATCATAATAATAACAACGATAATAACAATAATGATGATAACAGATAATAGTGATGATAACGATACTGCTACTAATAATAATCATAAAAAACAAAAACAATAATGAGAAGTATAATAGTGATGATAGCACCACTAATAATCTTTATATGATAATGATAAAGCTACTACTAATGATAATAATAATAATAATAATAATAATGATAAAAAATAAGGATAATAGTAATACTATGATGAAAAAAAATGATAACAGTAGTAATATGATTATGATAATAATATAATAATAATATATCAAAATAACGATAACAGTAATAATGATAATAATGATGATAATAAAAATTATAGTAATAATACCAATACCAATAATGATAACATTGCTCTTAATGACAATAATGATATTGATCGTAATGATAATAATGTGATAATGATAAAATAAAAGAGGGGAGAAAAGAGCAAAGAGACAAAAAACATGAAAGCAAAAACTGAGAGATAAAAAAAAAGTAAAACAAACAAACGAAAGAAAAACGAAAAAACTCACTCGAACTTCTCAGCGTCGATGTCGTCCATCTTGACAAATCGTCGAAGTCTCCTTCCACGACAGATCTGAGTGTTGAGGTCCCGATAACACGTGTAAGGCACCGTAGACGTCAGCGTGCTCATGACAATAGCGGTTCTCACGGTGAATTTGGCGAGTACGCGGAGGTCCTCGTCTTCCCGAGCTGACACTGTGAGGCGGAAGGATTGAAGGATTTAAGGAGGGATAGGAGGAAAGGAAGAAGCGAAAGGATGGAAGGGAATGAAGGGAG